AGTTTGAGGCCAGCCTGGTCTACAGAGTGAGTTCCAGGACAGCCAGGGCTACACAGAGAAACCCTGTCTCAAAAAAAAAAAAAAAAAAAAAAAAAAAGTAAAGGACTCAGAATATAATCCTCAGTGGTAGAGCACTTGCTTAATGGGCGCAAGGCTTTAGGTTTCATCCAATAACAAATCAATGAACTTCAGACTGCTCATTGTGGCCCAAAGGCCCTCAAGATCTGGTTCCTGTTTTCACTCATTCTGTTTCAGAGTCCTGTCTTCAGTGACTTCCCCACTCCCTCCATGCTGGCTGCTCCCAAGGCCCAAAATATTCTTCAGTGGCTGCACAGGCTCAGACACCTGCCTCCTTATCGTTATTTTTAGTTTGCATTCAAAGAAGTGTTTCAAATGATACTTTCATACATTCATGTCATACTGCGTTCTTACTCTGCACCTTACCCCGCCGTCCTCCCTTGCCCTCTTTCTGGCCTCCCTCCTCCTCACTACTACTCTCTAGTCACATGCTCATTGCACCTACTGGTCCTACACACACAGGATTTACCTCAGCTGAAATTGTCCTGGTCAGGGTTTGTTTACTAGTTCACTGCCTTCCTGAAGAGAGGCAGTAGTCTCCATGGAGGGCAGGAGTTGACGTTAACTCCCTCTTGCATCCCCTGAATAGTAAGTACTCACATATCAGGTACTTGATAAATATTTGTTCAGTGAGAAAACAGTTTCACTAGACATCTTCAGTTTGCTTTAAAGAAACATCAAAAGTGTTTTAAAGATGAAGCTATGTATATTCATCCCTTTTGTGGAATATGACTTTTGTCACACTGTAAAATTATAAAATGATGAGTTCTCCCAAAACCTTATAGGAATGAAAATATTTTCAATAAGATTACTACTAAATATGCAAAAGGCTTCACACTAGTAAAAAATGGCAATGATTTTCAAAGTCAAGCTTGACAGAATGTAACTCTTTTCAAGAGAACAGACCAAAACAAGACAGAAAGGCAGAAGTAAAATAGCAGTGCACAGATATGTGTTTTTACTTCGATGAATTCTTTTTGAAATAGGTGAGGATAAAGCACATTACATTGCTAAGTTTCCAGCTTAGCTTCCACCCATCAACAACTACTTAAACGCTTGCTGAACTTATTACTGGCCAGAGAAACTTGAGCAATGCTGTGCTTCTCTACTGCAGTGAGTCTCCATCTCTGACACAAAAGGCTTTCCGTTTTCAGTCCATAAAACACACTGGAAACTCGACCTAATGTTATTCTCATTGTAAAAACTGAAACCTTTTCTCCTATTGGAAGTCCTTTTTCTTTTATTAAGTCTTTCCTATAAAATCCACAAATGTGTCTTTGTTGACACTGGTTTTGAGGAGAGATCCTTCATTATAGTGACATCTCATGCTATTAAATACATGTGTTTGTTACTGCTTGGCCCAGGGGGAGAGGGAAATAGCATAGAAAAGAATCTAGTATATTAAACATAAAAGACCTTCAGAAAAATCTTTATGAACTCAAATTAACAGAACTTTAAAACAACAGAATGTGACCAGGTTCACACCTTTAATCCCAGCACTCTGGAGGCAGAGGCAGGTCAATCTCTGAGGTCGAAGCCAACTTGGAAAACAGAGTTCCAGTACAGCTAGGGTTACACAGAGAAACCCTACCTCAAAAACAAAGAAAAAAAAAGCGGAGCATGGCAAAGTCATTCTGCAGTAAAGTGGACATGATTTGGTGACTGAATCTGACAGAGGTACTAAACTGTGAGCAGGACAGAAAGCTGTCAGGCTCTGCTTGGTGTATTAGGATGGGCCGTGGGGACGACAGAGACATTTGTGTAGGGAGGAAGAGTTCCATTTTTTAGAAAACTGGACTGTCAATGCCTCTATGACATTCATACCAAAGTGGGTTGACAGTTTAAAAGCCAATTGGATGCATAGGTCTGAAACACAAGCAAAATACTGTGGGTTATTTTAGATATTGACACATATATTTGTTGTTTATAGATTTTATTATATAATAATGACATCAGTTAAAAATCAGTTACAAAGTCCAAGTTCTTTATGAGTCAGTTGTTACTGGGGCCCATGTCTTGTACATGATGCCAACAGACGATGCCTGGCTTCTGCAAAGGGTCTCAATACATGACCATCTCTGGGTTACAGAAATCAAAAATAAAAACAGTATCTTCCATAACCAGAAGAACTGTGGCTTCCAGCATCTATAAATAGTTTATTGGGAAATCTTTTTTCCGAGTAAGCTACCACCTCCTGTTATCAGCTGTATTTCTCTTTTCTAAACATATATTCACAATGTCCTGTAAAAGGATAATCAAAACCCAACACTTTTTCTTCCTAAAAGTATTTCTGATTATTCCCAAATCACCCCAAAACCTAGTGGATTAAATCAACAACATATTTTTACTGTAAAAATTTCACGAACTAGAAATCTCGGCCCTTGGCTTTAGGACCTCTCACAAGACTATAATCAAGTGTTTGCCAGAGATGAGGTTCAAATGGGAAAGGATTAATTTACAGTTCAAACAGGGGTTATTGGCTTTTTCCTATTGAACCAAATGTCTTAAGTTTTCACTAGTCATAGGCTGGAGTCTTTCCTCAGGTCCTTCCTTGCCAACGGGTTTTCTTAAATTATAGCTTGCTTTATCAAAGAGCGCAACTCACAAGTGCTATGAGGAATTAGCTACCAAAACAGAAGTTACTGTCTTTTGTAACAAAGTCATGGGAATGACATGCACAACTTTTCCTTTATGCTGTTGGCTAGATCAACTCACCAGGTCCAGCCCACATTCCAGTGAGATCACTCAAGGGCAGGGATAGATACCATAGATACCATGGATACTGAAGCTATTGTTAGAAGCCCGCCTACCAGCCCGCTAAGATTGATCAGTATTATAAATGAAAACGGAAGTAGAAAGACTAACAAATGCACATTTTTCTATGTGGAGTTATGTGATAATGATGGACCTCTCCAGGCCTGTTAATTTCTTGGTTTCTCAGTGAAAGGAACTTAATCATCAATGTTTACTTAATGCCTTCCCACAGTTCTGTGCGGTATGAACTCAGCAAATGTTGATCGACAAGAATAGAACAGTATATGGACAATAAAGTCCATTTCTGCCTAGAGTTACTTGGAAACTCAAGTGGAGGCTTTTTAAGGTGTGATTGTAGCATTGTGCCACAAAAAATAGTCTCAAGACTCTTTTTGCAAATACAAATTTCCCCAACATCTTTCCAGTGTAAATCTCAGAGTTACTTACACATGTGATACTGTTTGACTTACACATGTGATACTGAAGACAAGATTTCTTATAGTCTGCCAAATTTCTGCATCACTGGGAAATACAGATGATTGTTTCACAGTGTGCCACTGGGCAGTGTTATATGTCACATTTTTGCTAGAGAATATACTCTCTTAGCTAACTAATTGCATTTTAAAATTAATTAGTGGGTTTGGAGGGATGACCTGGTTAAGAAACCATGAGGTCTTGGGTTTAGATCTATGACACTCACGTAAAAAGCAGGGTGTTGCAGTATACATCTCTAACCCCATAGACAAGCAGACCCTGCTTATTGATCAGACAGCCTAGCCCAGGGGATGAGCTCCAGATTCAATATGGGAGAACTTGTCTCAACAAATAAGATGTAGAGGGCTGTAGAGGTGACTAAGCAATTAAGAGCACTTTCTGCTCTTCTAGAGGACCTGAGTTCCAATCATTACACAGGGCTGTTTAAAGCTGCTTGTAATTGTAGCTCAAGGGAATTAGATGCCCTCTCTGGCTTCTTCAGGAACACACACACACACACACACACACACACTCACACTCACACTCACACACACGCACACACATTTTATCATTATCATAGAAGGAAAACCCGCTATTTTTAGTAACATATATAGTCCTAATCATGCCACCAAAAAATGATCATGATTAAGTATGTCCATGTCTAGATATACACATATTGCATATTTAAAGGTATATATACCACGTATGGTGGCCTGAACAGCCCCAAATATTCAAATATTGTGTGAGCCTGTGGGGTTGAGCCTAGTCTGAGCTGCATGGTGAGAAACTATCCCAAATATAATAAATAAATAAATGTGTACATAGCTTTACCACAAATGAGAGCACAGTCCGTTTCATGATATATGAAAGTGTGTAACGCCAAGACTTCCAGAGCAAGTGAGTCTCAATGACTTACTAAACTCGAGGCCTTACTGCAAGGCCTCTAGCAGTGTTAGCCGCAGACCATGCTCTACAGAGAAAGAAGTCAGCCCTTGTTAAAGCTGTTGTCCCCAACGGAATCCCATAAAACTCATAAGACAGGTATGTGAGTAGTTTTAATGCATTGTTTTAATTATTCTCTCACTTCCTGTCCTCCTTCAGCTTTTTCTCCTGGGAGACAACCCTTCTACGTGAGTTAGTGTGGCTGAATTTCCAGGCCTGGAATACCCAGTCATTATTTTTCTCTTGTTGCTGATGAATCTCCACCTGGCTTCTCTTACCATTTCTCCTTCCTTCTTCCCACACCACAACTGGTTTCAACAATCAGCTGTAGGTTTGTTTTGTTTTTTAATGGTTTTTCAAGTGTTTCTCTGTGTAACAGCCCTGGCTGTCCTGGAACTCACTTTGTAGACCAGGCTGGCCTCAAATTCACAAAGATCCACCTGTCTCTGCCTCCATAGTGCTGAGATTAAAGGTGTTGTCCTTCTTCTTGTCTTTCATTCATGTTATTCATTTTACAAACATTTGTTAATGGGTACTGGTATACACGGCACTTACAATGGTGACATAAAAGAATGCTGTCCTCAGTTTCTTTTCTTTCTGACTTTCTTCCTTTCTTCCTTTTTCTTTCTTTCTTTTTGTAACAAAGGCAGATCCTTGTTATGCTAAAGAGCTTCATACTAACAAAATACACCATTAAGCTTTCTGAAAATTTGCACTGATCTGAGATAAAGGGGGAATAAAATGTAAGAGGGATGGTCACTTCGGCAGCACATGTACTAAAATTGGACCGATAAAGAGATTTGCACAGCCCCTGTGCAAGGATGACACACAAATCTGTGAAATGTTCCATATTTCTGTGACCAGGAGCAAGGGTAGTGACTGGGATGCAAAGTGAATAAATGAGATTGGGGGGGGGGGAGGGAGAGAGAGAGAGAGGATGGTGGTGGCTTGTGCCTTTAATCCCAGCAGAGGTAGGTGGATGGATCCTAGAGTTAAACAAAAGAGGAAAGAAAACATGCTATTGCTATCCCAAAAGCTGAAGAATGTAACAGAGCATACTCGAACCCGAAAATCCTGACCTGAAGACCGGAAGCAGCAAGCTGTGAGGAGTGTCCAGATAAATGGTCTTGAGTACCAACCCAAGTTTGGGTTTTATCCTAGTAGAGTTCTGTCTGTACCTTCAGGCAATTCGTTTTGGGTCTATAAGGGGGCAGGTGTGGTTGCTGGACACTAAAATAATCAAAAGTCGTGGAGAGGGAAACGATATCCTGCAAATCTTGTTCTGTCCAAACTAATTGGTCTTTTCTCGGACCACAAGTGCACAACACCAACTCTTCTGGTACCCCCTGTCACAAAGAGCCAGACTCAGGGCGGGCCTGGGCTTTCCGGACGTCACGAGACTTCCTCTGCCGGGCGGTTCGAGCATTTGGTCGCCTGGCAACTGCCGCTGGCTTTGTAGGAGCCTGGCACAAGGACTGACACTGACCAGACCAGTTACAGACCCGACTGGACAGAGTGGTGAGACGCCCCCGAAAACCCTAGCCAGGAACGTTCGTGCACGCAGACGTCTTAATACCGGTTAAAATGCAAGTCCCTGGGCCCTGCCCCTAAACAGCTAGAATCGCAGGCGCAGTTTGGAAGACTAGTTTGGACTAGCAGGCAAGCTCTCTAGAAGCCCGAGAGTGGAGGGAGCAAGCAAGCAGAGCCCAGGCTTTAAAAAGGTTTAGAGGGCTGAAGCTCCATTTGGAGAATCTGGAAGCCACTGAGCTCAGCTGCTCCCTAAGAGGGAATGTAGGTAGAAACCGAACTCTGAAACTGTCCATCCTACCCAGCCTGCAAGGAGCCTGGGGGTGAAAATCAGCAGAGGATCCATCAAGATGGATTCCCAGAGCACCCGGAAGCCCCCCCGCCCCCCCAGCCCCCGCTTCTGGGATGAGTCCCAGTAATTGTATCGAATAGGAGATATTATGGGAAACGACTTCTTTTTCAGAGAAAATAAAGGACATTCCCATAAGTATTGACCTTATTACTTTCATTATAATGTTCGAAAAAGTACACAAATTCAACTATCTCTCTGTCTCTCTCTCTCTCTCTGTCTCTCTTCTCTCTCTCTCTCTCTGTCTCTCTCTTTCTGGTTTTTTGAGACAGGGTTTCTCTGTGTACCCCTGGCTGTCCTGGAACTCACTCTGTAGACCAGGCTGGCCTCGAACTCAGAAATCCGCCTGCCTCTGCCTCCCAAGTGCTGATTAAAGGGTGGTGTTTTGACAAAACAATTTTCATGAACTGCTCCCAAGCAGTTTATTATTTAATAGTTTATGTTGTGGGTTATTGTGAGCCTCTCCCGTCCCACATTCAAGTCCCTGGACATGTTTCCTATAGCTTATTGATTACATTCATTGGCCTTGATTTAAAAATATTTTAAACTTGTTTCTTCTTTTCCTAACAATCTCTTGTAGTCCACAGTACCCTAACACTCATTGTCACCAAAGCTGCCCTTGAACGTCCTTCTTCTACCTCCTAAATTCTGGGATTATACGAGTGCCACCAGCTCAGCTGCCTCCTTTCTTTTCAAATCTGATTAATTTCCAGAGGCACCAGCTTTTAAATACAGAATTCGTCTGTGGTGAAAGAACTCAGAATATTCCACTCACAAATGTGCTGCTCTGGTACATTGACTATTTTAAGTTAAAGACACTTGAAATCACAGCAGGTGCAAGATCAACTGCAGACCGACCCCGCCCACCCATCTACTTGCCTGTCTGCCTGCTTCCCTTTGAAAAGCCCTTTCCAAGGAAAAAGGAAAACAAAGTTTTCACAATTAAAAACAAGTGAAACAAGAAAATAACAAAGACAAGCCAGAGGCTGGGAAAAGATAGCACACACAATCAGTGACAGAATTTATTGTCTAATAGGAATGTGCATACATTCTAAAACTTACCTATCAAACACGATAGGAATAATGAATACGATACAGAGACAGCAATTAGCACATAAAAGGAATTCTGAAAGGCTGACAAGGAAATACTTCACTCTCTGTAGTGTGTTAAGAGTGATACATTAAAACCCAACTTAAAAATATTGGGCTCGCCGGGCGGTGGTGGCGCACGCTTTTAATCCCAGCACTTGGGAGGCAGAGGCAGGCGGATTTCTGAGTTCGAGGCCAGCCTGGTCTACAGAGTGAGTTCCAGGACAGCCAGGGCTATACAGAGAAACCCTGTCTCGAAAAACAAAAAAAAAAA